TGCTTTCTAGAAATTTATTATTGGAATAAAATTTCCAACCAAGAAGTTCAACTCATGGAAACAGTTAAGCAGTTATTTGGTGACATCTATAATATTAATGCTGTTTAATAGTTGTCAATTGCTTCCCCAAGAGAGGCAACTGACAAGTTATACAAGGTAGCTTGTGGACGCAGTGGTGCAGATTCGTGGGCAAGAGGAATCCAGAGAAAAGAACTGAAGATTGGAGAGGGGAATTAGAGGCTTCAGCAGGGACAGGGATAAGAAGTGCATCTTTGAGAGTAGGATTGTGCACAGAAAGAGGCCCAGCTGAAAGAGCGGGAGGCCAGCCAAAGTATACAGTAGGGACAGTAGGCAGTTTAGAAAGCCAAAGAAGCCAGAAATGAATGATTTTGAATTCTAGGCAAAGACATTGCCATTTATAAATGAAACAAAGCACCTTTAACATGAGAGTAAGAAAACAGAGTCCATCCTTTCTCAGCCTTTTACAAGAGCATTTCCTGTCTCTGGCCCGCCAGCAAACCGTTACCACCATGCATGCTGCCAGCTCTTTTAATTATATATCTGTGGGGCTGGGCATTCTGGTCAGACAATCGGATCACCTTAACCGGGAGAAAGGCAATAAGAAGATGTGCACTTTCTGATTCCCAGCCATTCGCCCTGGCCTCTGAGGCCCAGGAGGCCTTCCAGTATGTGCGTATGAGTCAGCAGCAACATGTGGGAGAGACATGAAGGCACTGACAGGACAAAAACAAATAGAAATTGTAAGAGAATACCAAGAGTTCAGGGGTTAGATTTTAAAACAAAACTCCAAAAGATCATGACAACCTTCTATTCTTCTGTCAGTCTTTCATGGACAGCTTCTAAAAATCTACCTCTTTATTTCTGCTCAGTCTGTTCAGTGCTATGTATTTTTAGGACAGTAATAAAACATGTGGGCTCAGTCACAGAAGCAAACATGGCTTCTCTCTATTTCCTTGTGGCTATGGTGCCCACAGGAGGAAGAGGAAAGCGCTTCAGTGTCCCCACTGCTTCGAGCACTCACGCTCTACCCGAGCCTGGCCTGCTTGTTTAGTTCTACTGACTCAGGGCTCCCAGTCATCTTCCTGCTACTACCTCAACACCAAGACTTATTTTGTTAAGTCAGCTAACTGACTTAAATATTTATTCTTTACTTGGAAAAGTTCAAAATAAACACATAGGATTTTATTTTTGATTTGGGGAGTTTTCCCCCCAATTATAACAAAATCTCTACAAAGTGTGTAAGACAAAAAGAAATTGGTGTGGTGAAGCTGAAATTTTATTGTGACACTAGAAAACTCTCTTTGTTTATAGGATTATTGTATTTTTAGATTATGACAATGCTCTGTATTTACTTAGGTGCTGGTTGAAGTTTCAGGTTTATTTTGTCTTGAAACTGATTATATGCTTATTTTTTCTAGCATATTATCCATTAGATATCACATAATCTCCCAGCACCTTGAGTTTTGGTTTGTCCTAAGAGTCTGTGTTTGTCTTTCCTTAAAGATCTCTATTTCCTATGTAATCTATTTCCTGTAGACTGCGAAAGTAATAGTTAAAATCACGAACCATATATATCATGTGCTAAAAATAGATATTATTCACACAGAATTATTGAGGCATCGTGACCAATTTGGTTTAAAATTGCTATTGGTGAGGATGAGGTTATTTTTAGTCCTTTTAGTTGCTAGAATTGTGACTTTAGAACTTAGCCATAAACATTTCTCAGGTTATTCAACATGGAAAAATTATGAAGAGGTGATTGGCCAGGATGGATTTGCTATTCCTTCCAAATAAGTGCCTAAAAGTGGCTGACATGCAAATTGGGACCAATATGGACTTCCCTAGAAGAAAGGATCAGTTCTTTTAGATTTAGTACTTTCAAAATTGGCAGTGTGGACTCAATAGCTTATTCGTATTCTAGAATAAGGCTTATGTATTTTTCTTTCCTGTAAGTGAACCAGACGTGGTTTGCAGCCAATCATCTAGCTCTTCTAACATCCGCTTATTATTCTTGTATTATCACAAACCCTGGGTTTACTACAGGCCTGCAATTCTCTAGGGACTTCCATGAGAGAATGCTTTTAAATTACTTCCTGGAACAAGAGGTGGTCAAGCTAAACTTGTACCCCACCCCATTTTTAATGAAGTGCATACCAAGCCGAGTACTAGTAGTTTTCATGACTTATGATATTTGAAAAAAAAACACCAAACAATCAGGAAATGTAGAATGAGAGCTCTGATTCTTTTTATCAAATTCAGAAAGATGACAGTAGTTTCCATAATCCAAATTTTTAAAAATTACTTAGTTTCAAATGACTTCCTATGTCATTGTAATCATTTTTCTTTGCAAAATTTTGAAACAAATCACAATGATTTGCACTTTTAAAAGATTTTTATATTAGTATTTTTCTTCTAGTGTCTACTCTGTGACACTCTTGCCTCAACCAATATGTACTTTCCTTTATCTCACAAATGGCATTAGAGTAAACCCTTTCTAAATATAAATTATTCAATCTCAGAATAAACATATGCACACACTTATGCAGTTATATTAATAGCACAGGAGCTATAGTAGTAAATATAAGAAACAACATAATCTTCAAGTATGGAGAAGTGCTTTATAAACCCAACATTATTTGATTAATATATTGCCCAGGTTAGGGGGTGAAAAAGTAGTATAATTTTAGCTTTCAATTCATTGGCAGTTTTCTCCCTTTCTTAGTGAGAAAAGTGATCTTAGGTCTGGGTGTCCTAACAGGTCATATAAACAATAATGTTGATAATAATAACAGTAATAAAATAGTAGCTAACATAAATTGAGTACATAGGATGTTCTGAAAATAGTTTTAAGTGATTTATGAGTCCTCAGACCAAGATTTTAAAATAAATATTATTATCCTCCTTTTATGGATGAAGAAACAGGCACATAAGTGGAAATTATATCTTAGCACATTCAGGATGCTATAACAAAAACACCATAGATTGAGTAGCTTATAAACAACAAAAGTTTATTTTTTACAATTCTGGGACCTGCAGGTTCAGGATCATGGTGCCACCTGACTCTGCATCTGGTGAGGACCTGCTTCCTAGTTCATAGGCAAGTTCTCCCTGTGTCCTTACAGGTGAAAGGGTCGAGCAAGCTCACTTGGGCCTCTTTGATAAGGTGATAGCAGGCATGGAATGCATATAGTGTTTATAAGTAGAGACTTTTGATAGTACATTGCTTGTCTTTTGTTATTTTTCTTCTGATAAGTGACGAAAGTATAGGCTAGCAGAAAATACATTTGTTAAATTTCAGCATCTTTCTGTCAGTTGCTGAAAGCTATTGTGAACCCTTTGTGCCAATTAGGAGAAAATGGTACGTGGTTTTCACTGCTGTCTCATGTCAGCCGCAAAAGAGCCTTCTGAGTAACTGTGTGGTATTTAAAGAAAAGTATTGATTATAAATTATGCATATTAATAATTTCTTAAGCATGTTTTTCTTTGCTACTATGGGCTTCATGTTTGTGCTCCCCCAGATTTATATGCTGAATTCCTTTTCCAGGGTGATGGTTGTAGAAGGGGGAAGTGATTAGGTCATGAGGGCAGAAGTCTCAGAATGAGATTAGTGTCCTTGTTTCAGAGGCTCCAGGAAACTTCTCTGCCCCTTCCACCATACGAAGGCATGATGAGAATGAACTACATAGGTACTGGAAGAGACCCCTCACTGAACCCCGATGCATGAGCATCTGGATCTTGCAGTTCCAGCCTCTAGAACTGTGAGAAATAAAGTTCGATTGTTTACAAATCACTCAGTCTATGATTTTTGTTACAGCACCTCAAGTAGAGTAAGACAATGGCCAGGGGTCATGATTTTTCTCCCAGCATCACCGACCTCTTTATCAAACTCTGAGCCACATTAATTATTAATTAGCAAATCAAGACTGTTGCCATGACTATAATTTATTTCCAAAATACTGTATATCTCAGAAATTATTGACTTTCCCTTACTATTTTATCATCTGGAAAGAAAAAAGTTTAATTCTATACTATACTAGAACATATAAAATAAAAGGTGAAACAGAAACCACTAATCAATAATCTGTATCCTGATAAAAAATGTCAAACTTCTTACTTCCTTAGGGTACTTGTAATTAACAAGAACAACTTGGTGTTCAAGATTTTAAAAAAATAATATGTACTCTGTATTAGTATAATTTGTGGAATATTATAATATCAAATTTTTCTGCAGTTGAGTTTGAAGTGAGGTGGGAAAGAAAAGAAAGATTCCAACAGTTTGAAATAGGGAGTAAGTAGACTTTTGTCTCTAAATGTATAATTGGCATCCTTTTCTCTATTAACAACAGAGCATAGGGGATAGAATCAAGTTTCCACCAATTATACCCTGAAAAATGCATATTTAATTAAATCACACCCTCTAAATTACTCAATATTTGTAAGTGAAACACTTATTTCACAGAATGCATTCACATTGTTATCTTTCAGAGTAGCTTACTAAGACTTACTGTAACGTGTGTAGAACAAATTTGGAACCTAGGTGTTACCTCATTGCTAAGCCTGGATGGAACGTTTTTGGACATGTTTTATGATTTGCTGATCTGTGCTGTGAAACCATCAGTCTGTTTGTAGTGGGGAGGATATGACTGGGAGGGGAGGGAAGGGAGAGGGAAGGAGGGTCATTCTGTTTGGTGTGTCAGGGGTAGAAGGGAGGGGGAGGAAGATTTGTCATAAAGTTTGGACTAAGATGTTCTTGAAGGTTCAATTTCGGGAGCTGGGGATGTAGCACCGTGGTAGAGCATGTGCTTCGCATGTGTGACCCCTTGGGTTCAATCTCCAAACCTACAAGAAAGGGGGAGGGGTGATTCAGTGGGATCTTTATGCCAAAAATCATCTGTGATAAATAGGTGCTGCTAGGAAGCAAGTTTTCAGTGATCATACTTTCTTTTTTGTTTGTTTGTTTGTTTTATATTTTTTCCCAGGGGAAATCCCTCACATCTAAGAGGTTAACAAGCCTTGTTCAGTCTTACTAAAAGGACCACCTTGTAGCATGGAAAGACTGGCATCGTGGCATATACTCTGTAATTCTGATGTAACCTGGAGCAGAGGACATTAGACCAAGACGTTGCATGAACGGAGGACCTGACTTGTTCTTTTTTGTGTGTACATTAAGGCATCGCCATCTCCAAGGGACTCTTTGCCATCCCAATGCCTCCATTTCAAACTGTTGTCTGCTTTCTTCCTCTTCCTTTCTTCTACTAAGCTGGATCTGTTGTCTTTTCCTTTTTAACAAGTTTGAGTGAAGTAAAACCTTTTTATTTTCCCTCTCTCTTAAAGCTTCTGCTAGTCACACTGTTCACTGATAATTCAATCAGTCACAAACTGGAAGAATTGTACAAGAAAAAAAGCATATATCAATATGTATACATACGGCTTCACATTTATTAAACAATAAATTAGCACAGAAAGTTGCACTTCACCGGTGTTTTCACAGTCTGAAACAAGCTCATGTCTTTGTCTCTTGTCTGTACATTCTCGGTTAATGTTTCTTGCATTTATTTTTATACCATATTTAAATAAGAAACACCTTTTACTCCAAATGTATTAAAGTTGATCCCTTCTCTGTAAATTTGTGTATGTTTATATTGTTGTTTTATCTTTCATTAAAAGATGCAAAATCTCCTTGCTTTTGTAGCTTTTGTCTTCAGCATAAAATGTAGAAGAGAATGATGAGAAAGCAGTCACAGCCATAGAGTTGCAAATTAGACTGTCACCCTGAAATGGTGTCAGTGTCGCAAGATGAGCTCGGATGCTGAGGCAGCTATGAGCAGCACATTGGAAGTATTTCACTTGGGAGCCAAGCTGGGGCCAGGTAGATCTTTTGCCTACCATTGAAGAACAACAAAAATGTGGCTCTCCATATTTTTCACTATATAAGGAGGTCTTTCTGCCTTGTAATGAATATGTGTATCTATGTTTTGCTAATGAATATTTTGTTAAAATTAAGCTTGAGTGTGACTTTGCAACTCCGTAACTGATTTTTTTCTTTAAAGCACAATTCTAAAAATACCTGAGGTCAGTGTTGCTTAACTTTCTGGTGGTTATAGTTTCCTTTAAGAATAAGATGTTATTTACTGACATTCAGTGAATACTTACTAAAGGCCTGTCCCTGTATTGTGAACTTTATATGCACAGAAAATCCTCACATTTTTATCCTCACACAGCCTTCTGAGATCATTTCTGCAATTTTAAGAACATTGAAGAAGAGAGGTTAATTAACTTGTTTGAAGTCACACAGGCAAGTGGTGAGTTAAGATTATAGAAGAAAGAAAAAAAATCTTTTCTTCTACCATTCTAGTTTCACAACTTGAACTCTGTGACAAAAGACAGATTAACAGGACTACGATGTGGCTCCTCAGCAGAGTGTTTGCCATGCATGTGTAAGGCCCTGAGTTTGACCCCCAGCACTGCATTAAAAACAAAAAACAACAACAAAAATAGATGTACAAAAGAAAAGCATGATCATTTACTTAACAGAAGTTTTCCTTGGTGGGAAACTTCATAAGGAAAGGAGGATTTAAGCAAAGTGGTTAAACCTGCTTGTTTTATACTAGCTTCAAAATGGAGTACTGAGTCATGGGACAATATGACAGGACCAGTGGATATGAGTTATGGGTGATGTCTTGGTTACTTTTCTCTCCTTGTTGAAACAAAATACCCAATGGCCAAAGTTAAGAGAGGAAAGGTTTATTTAGCTCACAGTTTGTAGAAATATCAGTCCATAATCAGCTAGCTCCAAGGCAGGTTGGCTTGGCAGATAGGCATCACAGAGGAGAAGCAGTTCATTGCAGGCAGAAGACAGCAAAAGCAAGCGAGGGACAAGACAAGCCTCTTTCTGTCCCTTATATCATATTCAGGCTACCAGGATTACGGCAGTGCCAAACCAATCAGTGGATTGATGTAGTAATCATCCACCCTTCATCCCAGCGTCACACACTCTAGATTCAGCCACCTCTGAAAAAGCCCCACCTATGACCACATGAGGCTTTCGGGGGACATCTAGACACAAACCGTAACAGGTGGTAAACTGAGGGAAATGCAGTAAGGCCTGAGTGTCCAGACTCCTCTTAGTATCCCTTCATGTTCACAGGTAAGGAAGCCCCTTTTCTGAAAGTCTAGTGGAGGCACCTCTCATAGGAGGCTGTTAAGATCTGATTCTAGAGAAAATCAGACTCGTTCATACCTGCCATCTTTCAAATTCCTTCAGCTTAAAATAGCATTCTAAGACTCATGTTTTAGAGTAGCATGTTCTGAATTTTATTGGCATACAAATCCAGGCAATCTGACAACAAGGCATGGTACACTACACCTATCCATAACTTTTTTGGGGGGTATCAGGAATCAAACTCGGGACCTTGCACTTTCAAGGCAGGCAGTGGAACCACTGAGCTAAATCCCTGGCCCTATCCATAACTTTTGGTAAAAATCTTATGTGAAATCCACATATGCCCTCACATAGGAAACATTTGTTCTGAATATCAGGACATTCATAGACTAAACAGGAGCTCCTTCATGGACCTCAGGTAAGAAAGTTGACTCACAAAAAGACTGGATCAGCGACACTGAAAGTCACTCAGCCAGAACCTAGGCCTGACTTCCTTGCTTATGTTCGTACCTAGACATTGCAGACCATGGGTATTTAAAAAATGTGATCAACTTATTGATGTTTTTTAATTATTTTCTGTAAATTTACATTCTGAAAAATTTTACCAACAATAGTGAACAATCAGTAATGGAGTCTGGTAGCTAGAGCTCACAAAATGGAAGTCTTTATTGGAGAAATTTGTATATAGGCTATAATCTAAATACTGCAAATAGTTGAAGAAAATTTAATTATATCCATACATGGCTTTTTAAAAAAATACATAAAATGCAAAGTAAGTTAATAGACTTCAAGACAGGCTTGCACAGCCAGCACTGAAGCTACATTAAGCTCTACTCAGTAAACACATTATTTGAAGGAAAATAATAGACCTATTAAAAAAAATATGGTGTGTAAACAATGAGCCTTGCACAAAGATGGCTGGTTATCAGTGGCTATCTTTCCCAAGTTGTCAATCCTAGCTGTCCACCTAATTTGCAATTCCAAATAATGGATTCATGCAGAAATGAAGGTCAAAAGAATGGCTACAGACAGCAGAAAAGGGGAACCCTCCACCAAGTGTCTCCACATCAAGAACTCCTAGTTAAGAAGTTCATTCAAGGGCCGGGGATTTAGCTCAGTGGCACCGTGCCTGCCTCACAAGTGCAAGGTCCTGAGTTCGATCCCCAGCAGCACCCCAAAAAAAGTTCATTCAAGTTTCTGGTTTCAAGTACATAAAACCTTTAAATGGGGGCCCAGGATTTAGCTCAGTGGTGCTGCCACCTGCCTCACAAGTGCCAGGTCCCAAGTTTGATCCCTGGTACAAAAAAAAAAAATGCTTTAAGTGGCCTCATGATTCCATTTAATATGATTTAGACAAGACTTAGATACAAAAATATGGCATTTCAGGAGAAGCACTAAGAAAAGTTTTGAATTCCTTGCAGGTAACTCCAATAAGCTCTCATCAACACTTTCACACCCACACCAGTACTGTTCCATCTGTAAGTCATAGAATTAAAATTTTCATTGAATAAAATAGTTTTTAAGAAGTCTTTCCCTTCCTTAAGACCATCTTAAATACTATTGTCCAATAACTCAGAGCTTCTACACTCACATTGCAAAAGTGAGTGTAAATCCTCTAAATTGCACTGGCCCAGTCATCCCATTTACAGTAATGATTTTTATGGGTCTGCAAAAGATATTCTTCTTGGATCAGAATAATAAAAGTGTGGCCAGCAATCTTACCTAAGCTGTCTGCTAACAGATACCAGGAAAAGAAATGAAGGCAGAAACCCTCCTTAATTGTTTTGACAAGGGTCTAACTTGATCTTGCTACTCAAGACTCAGTTTTTTTGTTTTGTTTTGTTTTTTGGTACCGGGGATCAAACTCAGGACCTTGCACTTGTGAGGCAGGAGCCGTACCACTGAGCTAAATCCCCGCCCTCAAGACTCAGTTTTGTCCTAGTTGAATACTCACTTTTCTTTATATGAGGGTTTATAAATAATTTTGATATATTTATTGGAGAAACAATAAATAAATAATTTCAGAGAAACAAATCTTGGCTACCAACATGATTTTATTCCATGTACTTTAGTACATGCATTGATTATTTCCACACACAAGTACACATTTGAAAGGACACATTGGATTTTGAGTAGTTTTAGTGTTCCGCTTGACTACTAGTTTGCATATTCCAATAGCTCTGTACAACATCAGTGGGAGAGAGCCAAAGGTATCAATCCATGCCCTAAGCCACTGAAAGAAATAGTGAGTGACAGTGAAGAGTTTAAGAAATGTAAAGGATAGAAAGGAAATAAATTCACGTATCACACAAGTGTCACATACATTTTGTTGTATGACCAAGCATTTGGATCTCTATTGAAAGTTTTATATCCTAGAACTCACCTAAAAAAATGTATCAAACATAAAATGTCCAAAAATCAGATTAAAACAAAATTCGCATATACTCTTGAATGTTCAGGGACATTTCCCTGGAGCTGGAATGTAATGTGTTTATAACTTCATTTTCAGAAAGGTCATTAGTGCCTGAGTAGACAGGAATACTTCCTGATTAATAAATTGATTCATAAATCTGAATGTCTTTATTAGGTTATAGGACCTTATTCATTTCACACTTATTTGGAAATTCAATAAATTGGGCATGTGTAATATCTTTTTAAATTTAATAATATCTAACTCCAGTATTGGTTGAAAGGATTAGGATAATGTACATAAATCAGCAAATATGGTGCTTGGTACTTAACTGATGTACCAAGAAATAATGTTTATCTTACTTTCATCTCTTTTCTTTTTCTTTAAAAGGTCATTATTGTGAAAAGATAAAAGTTTCATTCAAAAACCACGTCTTAGCTGGCATGGAGACAGTGATGAAATTCAGGAGGCCAAAACTGAGCAGTGAATCAAGATATCAGAGACCTTGGGAAATACCAGGAGTGATGTCAGGTGGGATGGAGGGCTGGGAATCAATCAAGTAGCATTGATGTCAATAAAGCATCTGGATCAAAGGGTGATACTGAGCCAAATCAGGAGTCTGTTCTTGAGGAAGTGGATTCTAGATACTGAAGCTCCTGAAATAGCAGGAACTTTTCCAAAGGCATCTGTAGCCTGACTTGTGTGTGGAATGGAAAATGTTATGGGTGTCTCCCCAATATGAGAGTAGATGGTAGTGAGTAATAATATGTCAGGGGTAAAATCAGCTGTGTTAATCTAATTCCCATCACTGAGAGAAAATACTTGTGGTAAACAACTTATGAAAAGGAATGGCTTATTTTGATTCATAGTTTCATAGGTTTCATTCCATGAACTCTTGGCTCTGTTGCTTTGCGGTGGCACAGTGCTTCATGGCAGAGGAGGCCTGTTTATCTCATGGTGGCCAAGAGGTAAAGAGAGATGAAAGGGCCAGGATCCCAATATCCCTTTCCAGGTCCTCCCCCATGACCTAACATCCTTCTACTAGGCCACACTTCCTAGAGAATCCACTATGTCCCAGCTGCACCACAAGCTAACCACCAAGCCTTT